TTGTAAGCATCTTCATCTTCTTCCATTAAGTAGTGCATGTAATCTGCAACATTCTGGCCCATGATGTGCTTCTGGTATACTTTTGCATTAAATACCTTGCTTTCAGAATACTAACCAGGGAATCGTTTGGTACTGTGAGGGATAGACAAGCCTGCATCCACAGATCCCTTTAGGGTGCTAAAAACTTTATTGCCAGTGGTAGTTCTGGTAAGGTGTGCGTCCAAATAGCAGGTAAAGGCTATGATTCTGGCTGATCATCAATGCTTCCCACACTGTATTCATCACCAGTCACCTCCACTTGGCCTTCCTACATCTTGCCCATGCCAAACCTATTGAGAAGCCTGCGGCCCAGCAGCAGGCCAGGACAATATGCTGCAGCAGAATTTGTCAAGTCAACCTTCACACCATATTTTGGCAGTTTGTGTGCATATGCTGTGCAGACTCTCATATACCCCTCTCTATGGGCATAAGCAATCTGACAAATGATAGTTCATGTAACAAACAGGGTTTGTTACATGAACTATCATCCTGTATTTGAGTGTGTTGTATTTATTTTTATCCTGTATCACCAAGCATTTCTGAGCATAATAACCAGTTTTACCCTTTCATCGTTTTCTAAATTTCACTTGTTATCTCTTAAAGTAGGCCTTATTCTTGACAGCTTTAACAAACCCCGTCTTGTGGAACACAGACCCACGTCCGTGGCTCAACAGAGACCTGCAGACCCAGAAGCGCTAGGGGACAGAAAGGTCCTGAATTCTAATTTTTTAAAAGCATTGTATCTTGCAAATTTAGGAACATATCTAAGACTGAAGGTTAGTGGAGTTGGGGAAAAAATGTTTGGGAGTCTTACCCAGGGTTTGAAGCCCATCTCTGTACAGTTTCTTCATCATCACCATCACACAAATCAGCAAAAGTAGCTTCTAAATCCTCTAATTGATGAATTCGATTATCAACAATATCGACCAAATCTTCCTTTAAATACATTGGAAAACTGAGATTATATAGTGATTCTTTCAAAAAACAAGCAATGTCCTGTTACAAAAAACCTTGGCTCAATTAGTTAAAACATAATTTTCAAGTACTAACCATGGGCTTCGCCAACACACACACACACACACACACACACACACACACACACACACACACACACTTTGAGCAGTCTTTTGAGATCACTCTAGTAATTTGCAAGATATTGTTAGTTATATGATAAATGAATAAAACCCCAAAGAAACAAATGGAGGATACCTCTGTTAGGTCAGTGCTGGGTTTCTTAAATTGGTACAGCTCTTGTAAGATTTTGTACTCCTCCTGGAAAACAATATGAAAAATCCACATACCAGAAAAAAAAATGTTAAACTTTTTTTAATGATATGCTTTAAGGAAGAGACAGCTTTGCTTGTGATACAAAAACATCTTAATTATTTAAAGTTTTGTATACGAGAATCAGACAAAATGTATACTTTAAATATTTATTGTAAATATCACTTTTTTAAGGCAACTCTATCCAGTTGGGCATGACAATACTATGTAAAAATTACCTAAGGAAGCATACTAGGGGGCTAATGAGTCGAGACAAAAATATTTTTAATAATATTCTGCTATATAAATGGCATGTCCTAGGATCTAAACAGACTTTAGCTGTTTATAGGAAATATACATATCTTTAATAACAACAACAAAGCACTCCCCATGCCCACTTTGCAGAAGAGAACTCTGAAGTACACAGGCAATACTGGAGGCAGAATGTCAAAGACACAGAATCTCTGTCAGGGGCTCCACGTAAGGGAATAAAGATGCTTGCTATACAGACTCTACAGGAGAATGTTTCCTTTTGTTTAGCACAGCTACATGGATCTATTATATAGGTGGGTACTTCTGGCCCCAGTAATTCTATTAGGAGCATTCTCAGGAAGAGGTTATGTCCAAGAGCTAAAATTCATTAAGCACAATGTTGTGGTATATCTTCAGTGCTTTATTCATAATAACAATCCTATGAGTTGGGTCTGATTATTCTGATTTGATACTTGAAGAAACTATGGGTCAGAAAGGTTAAGTAACTTTCCTAAGATCATATAGCTAATAAACAGTAGAGGTAACAATAGAATGTAACTCCCTCTAACTTTTGAACATGCTTTTTTCTTTTTTTTTTTTTTTGAGACGGACTCTTGCTCTGTCGCCCAGGCTGGAGTGCAATGGTATGATCTTGGCTCACTGCAACCTCAACTCCTGGGTTCAAGATTCTCCTCCCTCAGCCTCCTGAGTAGTTGGGACTATAGGTGCATGCCACCACGCCTGGCTAATTTTTGTATTTTTAGTAGAAACGGGGTTTCACCGTATTAGCCAGGATGGTCTCGATCTCCTGATCTCGTGATCCACCTGCCTCAGCCTCCCAAACTGCTGGGATTACAGGTGTTAGCTACTGCGCCCAGCCAAATTAAGAGATGGTCCTTGCTCTGTTACCCTGGCTGGAGTGCAGTGCTGCGATCATGACTCATTGCAGCTTTGACCTCCCAGGCTTAAGTGATCCACCCATCTCAGCCTCCTGAGTAGTGAGACCACAGGCATGTGCCACTATGCCTGGCTATATTTAAAAATAGGTTTTTTTTGTAGAGATGGGGTCTTGCTACGTTGCCTATGCTGTTCTTGAACTCCTTGGCTCAAGTGATCCTCCTGCTGTGGCCTCCCAAAGTGTTGGGATTATACAATTGGGCCACCATGCGCAGCCTGAACATGTTCTTGAAGAAAAAATGAACAATTGTCTTTCCTAATGAAATTTAAAAAATTGCTACTAAATAATAAAGTGTAATATGCTTTTCAAAAAGTCCATTGTACCAAAGGGTATAAAGGCTCTAAATATCCTTGTGTTCCCAGGTTTCCTGATAGCACTCTAAAAGGAATAACTGCCACTGCATTTCTTATGTAACTTTCTAGAAACTTTCCTTACAAATATTTAGTTGGGTAATCAGGCATGTCACTGTTTAAGGAATAATCTGTCTCACACAGGGTTTATATATAGAATATCTCTGGAAAGGTACACAAGAAACTGACCACAATATTTGTTTCTGAAGCAAAGAACTGAAGGAATGGGGATGTAAGGAAGAGAGTGCTATATTTCAGTGTACACTTGTCCCTTGGTATCTGTGGGGGATCGGTTCTGGGACCTCCTGTGGATACCAAAATCTGCGGATGCTCAAGTCCCTGATATAAAATAGCAGTATTTGCATATAACCTATGCATATCTTCTCATATGCTTAAAGTCATCTCTAAATTACTTATGGTACGTAATACAGTGCAAAGCCTATGTCAACAGGTGTTATACTGTATTGTTTTTTATTTGTGTTATTTTTTACTCTTGTATTGTTGTTTCTAGTTGTTTTTTATTTTTTCCGAATATTTCCTATCTGTGGCTGGTTAAATCCAGTGATACAAAACCCATGGATACAGAGGGCTAACTGTATATACTTTATCCATCACCCATGTATATATTATCCCAATTAATAAATGCAAAATAATAAATACTATCTAGAGCAGCAGTTGGCAATCTATAGCCTATGGCCTGTTTTTGTATGGCCCTCAGGTTAAGAATGGTATATACAACTTTAAAAGGTTTTGAAAACAACAACAGAGAAAATCAGCAGAGAATGGGAACCCCAAAGCCTAAAATAATTACTAGCTGGCTGTTTAAAGAGTTTGCTGATTCCTCATCTAGGAAAAGCCATACAATTCTCAAGATCCATGTATTAAAAATACAATATTTACCTCAGTGAACATTTCTTTGAAGGGATTCTTGACTGAAAAAAAATCCAAGTCAATATCTAAAACAAATGCATTCCCTTTCTTCAAAATTTCCAGGACTTCCCCAGTGCTGGCTGTGGTCTGGCATTCCTGATTTCCAGAAGAACATGAACATGATGGTTCTGGACAAGTCTGGCCACTTCTCTGTGTCACTGTGTCCTTTCCCAGTCCTTCTGAAGAAGAGTCACAGTTAGTAGAGGCAGTGTTTTCCGAATCTTCCAGGGCTAGCTTTGGTTTCTTAGCAGAAGATACTGCATCATTTTCTTCTTGATTGTTACAGAGTTTATAAGGTTTTACCATAATTACATCCAATTGTAAAGGTTTTTGGTTCTCTAGCTGGTCTTCAGGTACATACAGACCATCACTTAGGAAGTAATGATCTGTACTTGTAACCCTGAATCAGAGGAAAAAACAATTTTTAAGAAGAATGGGCAAATTAGTTGACATTTCACTATGGCTTGGCAGAAATATACGAAAGGACCTATTTCACAAAAACTGAGAGCAGTTTCTAGTATTTATACTTCCTGTTCTTCTGTAGAAATAGCAGTCCTCAAATTCTTAGCTGGGCACACAGCTGCCCCATGTAAGGACTATATTTCAGTCTGCCTTGCAGCCTGATGTGGCCAGGTGATTAAATTCAGGCCAGTGATTGTGAATGGAAGAAAAGTGTACAGAGCTTTGCTATTCTGTTCCTGCTGACTGGCATGTGAACACAGAGGGGGAAAGCCATCTTGGACTGTAAGGACAAGGGCAATATTCTAGAGATAGTGGTGCAAAAAGAGAGAAGGAAGTAGGGTTCCCCAAACTCTAGAGCTGCCACATAGGCCTGGACTGTGTAGTGTGAACTCCAATTTAAGAATAAACTCTCTCAAGCTAGTGCTCCTTTGTTCTCTCTCATACCAGCTGAATCTTTATCCAAAAAAAATAAGAGAAAAATTACATCTGGAAATAATTTCTCTTACTAGAAACTCCCCTTGACATATTTTAAAGCTATGCTAATTTCTATAAAACCATAATATTTTCAATATGAAAAGTGACTTGGTAAATACTTTAAACAGTGAAGCCAAATACTCCTTCTAGAGGCATGCCTTACCCACCTAAAATAATGGTTAATATTTATTTCCCATTTGTCCTCTCCCAGCATACATGGCTTTAAACTGTAAAAGCTATTTTCCAAAAATAGATTAATAATATAATAAAACTAATGTCCAAGCTTATTAAAAACTGTACAATCCTAAGAAAGACAAGGCTGTATCCCCCAACCTAAATTTATATTCTTTTTAATAACAGTAGTTTTCCTGTGTTCTGATCATACAAACATATAAATATTTATCAAACTACACACCTACATGTACATGTGTCCCTTCCATACATTTTTACTTGCAGGAATAACCAAAATCATGAATCAAAATCTTCCAAAATTGTTAATCACACATGGAGTTTCAAATGTCTGTGTCAGATTGCTGAAAATTATTTGATTTTGCAGGTTAAATTAGGCCTAATCACTGAACTATTCAATAAAAACCCTACTAGTACTTTACACATACCAGTAGTATGTACAGTATTTACATGCTGAGTCTTAATTATTTTTGAACTATATCCGAAATAAATACAATTTTCATATATCACAGCAAAGCTATTTCTGCAAAAGATAAGAATCTATACTACAAAAGTTAATTGTATAATTAAGAATAAATTAGAAATAAAAAGCATCATTTTCAATGAGAAAGACTATCTTATTTTCAATGTATTACTATTTCATTCCATTATCCCTAAGGTTCTAGAAAGTTATGGCTATACTGCTTAAAATATTCACCCCATTGGCTTGCAGCCTCCCTACCCATCCTGCAACGCTCGACTCCAGGATTCCCCTCGCTCGCTATGGCTGACAAGGAAGCAGCTTTTGATGATGCAGTGGAAAACGAGTGATCAATGAGGAGTACAAAATATGGAAAAAGAACACTCCTTTTCTTTATGATTTGGTGAAGATCATGCTCTGGAGTGGCCCAGCCTAACTGACCAGTGGCTTCTAGATGTAACCAGACCAGAAGGGAAAGATTTCAGCATTCATCGACTTGTCCTGGGGACACATATATCGGATGAACAAAACCATTTTGTTATAGCCAGTGTGCAACTCCCTAATGATGATGCTCAGTTTGATGCATCACACTATGACAGGGAGAAAGGATAATTTGGAGATTTTGGTTCAGTTAGTGGAAAAACTGAAATAGAAATTAAGATCAACCATGAAGGAGAAGTAAACAAGGCTCATTATACGCCCCAGAACCCTTGTATCATCGCAACAAAGAGTCCTTCCAGTGATGTTCTTGTCTTGGACTATACAAAACATTTTTCTACACCAGATCCTTCTGGAGAATGCAACCCAGACTTGCACCTCCGTGGACATCAGAAGGAAGGCTATGGGCTTTCTTGGAACCCAAATCTCAGTGGGCACTTGCTTAGTGCTTCGGATGACCACACCGTCTGCCTATGGGACATCAGTGCTGTCCAAAGGAGGGAAAAGTGGTGGATGCAAAGACCATCTTTACCGGGCCTACAGCGGTAGTAGATGATGTTTCCTGACATCTGCTCCATGAGTCTCTGGGTCAGTTGCTGATGATCAGAAACTTATGATTTGGGATACTCGTTCAAACAGTGCTTCCAAACCAAGCCACTCAGTTGACACTCACATTGCTGAAGTGAACTGCCTCTCTTTCAATCCTTATAGTGAGTTCATTCTTGCCACAGGATCAGCTGACAAGACTGTTGCCTTGTAGGATCTAAGAAATCTGAAACTTAAGTTGCATTCCTTTGAATCACATAAGGATGGAATATTCCAGGTTCAGTGGTCACCTCACAATGAAATTATTTTGGCTTCCAGTGGTACGGATCACAGACTGAATGTCTGGGATTTAAGTAAAATTGGAGAATAACAATCCCCAGAAGATGCAGAAGATGGGCAACCACAGTTGTTGTTTATTCATGGTGGTCACATTGCCAAGATACCTGATTTCTCCTGGAAGCCCAATGAACCTTGGTGATTTGTTCTGCTTCAGAAGACGATATCATGCAAGTGTGGCAAATGGCAGAGAATGTTTATAACAATGAAGACCCTGAAGGAAGCATGGACCCAGAAGAACAAGGGTCCTAGATGTATATGTCTTTACTTCTTGTGATTTTAAACTCCCCTTTTTTCTTCTCAACCCTGAGAGTGATTTAACACTGGTTTTGAGACACAGACTTTGTTCAGCTATCCCTCTATGTAATAGGTACCACCAATGATGCTATTAGCCCAAACAGTGGGTGTTTTCTAAATATGAATGGTGGGGAGCGGGGGCTTGATTCAGCAAAGCCACAGTCTTATATTGAAATTTTCTTCAGGAATTTTCCAGTAACAAACCCAGGTCTAAAGTAGCTACAGAAAGGGGAATACTACGTGTGATTATTTTTCTTATGCTATATCCCCAAGTTTTTCAGACTCATTTAATAAGTAAAGGCTAGAGTGATTAAGGAATAGAGCCAAATGAGATAGGTGTCTGAGCCATGAAGTATAAATACTGAAAGATGCCACTTTAATTCAGGAAATAGGGGAGATTCAAGTCATATATTTGAGTAGATTCCTACTCAAATCTTGACACTTGACTTCGCAGGATGCACATTTTCATATGTAGACCAGTTTTCTCCTGGTTTCTTCAGTTAAGTCAAAACTACACGTTCCTCTTTCCCCATATATTTTTGCTCATTAGTATATTTCTTGAGCTGTTTTCATGTTGTCTCTCTCCTTTCTGTGAAATGGTGTTTTTTTTTTTAACTTGGGACCACCAAGTTGTAAAAATGCATGTTTTTACCTGACAGTTATACCACAGGTAGACTGTCAAGTTGAGAAGGGTGAATCAATAACTTGTATTTGTTTTAAAAATAAAATTAGTCCTTGATAAAAGTTTTTTTTTTTTTTAGGAGTTAGTCCTTGACCACAAGTTTGATGCCATCTCCATTTTGGGTGACCTGCTTCACCAGCAGGCCTGTTACTCTCCATGACTAACTGTGTAAGTGCTTAAAATGGAATAAATTGCTTTTCTACATAAAAAAAAAATTTACCCCATCAGAAAAGAATTTTAAAGTCAAGGAACATATTGGTATTTCTAAAGGTATGTTAGTATCACAAGATACACAAAACATTGGTTAAATAGCTCATACAGTAAAACAGTTGCACCTGTATCTCAAGTCAGAGGATGCTGTAATTTACTTTAGATTAAGTACTTATCTGAAACTAATTATATTATAATTAAGAAAATTAAAGCCCCAAATCTACTTATTCAGTTGTTGGATTTATAAAAAAATCAAAGTGAGATAATTTTGCCCTTTTACTGCTAATTGTTAAATTCAGCAGATAACACTTACATTGAGATGTACTACTGAATATATAAATCTGTAAGATACTTCAATGGCTTAAGGAGTTTATCACCAACGAAGCCCAAATTCCCTCGGATAAAGATCACGTTCAAAATCGAATTTGACCAGCAACTAAATATAAACGGTACATGATGAACATCAAGAGACTTAAAAGTTTGTTCTTGGTGTTTTGAGAACTCTTTGGAGAAGCTGAGGCTTAATCTGACCCTATTTGTGGGCAGAGACTTATGAAGTTATTATAGAAATCTAAAATAAGATAGAAACATTCAATAACTTCCATATTCACAAATATGAAGAAATTACCTGATTGTTGTGGTAGAAGAGTCTTTGCCTACTAAAAAGTGGTGTCTGCCCTCTCTGATTTGCTGAGCCCATGTGGGATGAAACCATATTACATGTGAAAAATGGCCTGCATAAACCGCGGGCATAATCCAATTTTCAATACTTAATTCTCTGGAAAAGAAATAGAAAGACAACATTAAAATTTTTAGTTTTTTTTTTTTTTTTTTTTTCTTTAGTGTAATTTCATCCACAACATTTTAAGACCACAGGTATCAAAGTGTGGTCCCTTGGTGGTTCCTGAGGCTTTTTCTGGGACATCTCTATGATAAAACTATTTTCATAAAAGTACTGACATATTGCTGGGCGCAGTGACTCATGCCTCTAATCCCAGCACTTCGGGACGCTGAGGTCAGTGGATCACGAGGTCAGGAGTTCGAGACCAGTCTGGCCAACATGGTAAAACCCTGTCTCTACTAAAAATACAGGAGCTCAAGACCAGTTGGGCCAACATGGTGAAAACTCATCTCTACTAAAAATACAAAAATTAGCCAGGTGTGGTGGTGGGTGCCTGTAATCCCTGCTACTTGGGAGGCTGAGGCAGAAGTGCTTGAACCCAGGAGGTGGAAGCTGCAGTGAGCTGAGACTGTGCCACCACTGCACTCCAGGCTGGGTGACAGACAGACTCCATCTCAAAAAAAAAAAAGTACTTGGAAGACAGTGTGGCAACTCCTCAAGAACCTAGAAATAGAAATTCCATTTGACCCAGCAATCCCATTACTGGTTATATATCCATAGGATTTAAATCGTTCTACTATAAGGCCACATGCACACGAATGTTCAACGCAGCACTGTTTACAATAGCAAAGACCTGGAACCAACCCAAATGCCCATCTATGATAGACTGGACAGGGAAAATGTGGCACATATACACCATGGAATACTATGCAGCCATCAAAAACGATGAGTTTGGGTCCTTTGTAGGGACACAGATGAACCTGGAAACCACCATCCTCAGCGAACTGACACAAGAACAGAAAATCAAACACCGCATATTCTTACTCATAGGTGGGTGTTGAACAATGAGGACACAGGGAGGGGAGCATCACACACTGGGGCCTGTGGGGGGAACATAGGGGAGGGACAGCAGGCGGTAGGGAGTTTAGGAGAGATAGCATGGGGAGAAATGCCAAATATAGGTGATGGGGAGGAAGGCAGCACATCACACTGCCATGTGTGTACCTATGCAACAATCTTGCATGTTCTTCACATGTACCCCAAAACCTAAAACGCAATAAAAAAAAAAAAAGACCAAATCAAGGCCAAAGAATAATTTTAAAAAAAGACCAAATCAAGGCCAAAGAAAATGAATAATAAAAAAAAGTACTAAGGTATTATTTCCTGCTTTCATTTATTGACATTTGCAAAGATGGTGCAAAGGCAATGGTGGGTTGATGTTCCAACATTAATTAAGGTAGCAGCACCAAAATGTCAGTAGTTACTGTATTCTTCATTACCAACCACTAGCACGATAAATAAATAAATATAAAAGTTTCATTTGAGAACATCTCAATTTTATTAACTTTCCATCCTTAGCATACATTTTTAAATATTCTGTGTGGCAAAATCAGAAATGCACTGAAAGTTCTTCTGCAATACAGTTTGAAGCATAACAGTTGTCTCAAGGAAAAGCACCTGTTGTGACTGAACTTCGAGCTGAGCACCATTTATCTTGAAAGGAGTGATCAATAAACTATGGTTATTCACACTTGACACTGAATTGCTAAATTCTACATTTCAACTAAGCTTTCATAAACTACTACCTGTCAAGTTCTCTTGTACTATCAGACTATTATCTGAAAAGGCTATGAAAATACTCTTTCCTTTTCCAATTACATGTCTGTGAAAGCCTGAATTTTCAACATATATTTCAACCAAAATAACATATGGCCAATGGACTAAATGCAGAAATTGACATGAAAATCCAATGGTATCTGTAAAGTTTTAGCAAATACTAAACATTGGCCAGGCTGCTTTTGTAAACAAAGTTTTTTTTTTTTTGGTTTGTTTCTTTTAAGAGATAGAGTGTGGTTATGTTGCCCAGTCTGGAGTGCAGAGGCTATGCACAGGCTTGATCACAGCCTGGAACTGCTGGCCGCAAGTGATCCTCCCACCCTAGCCTCCTGAGTAGCTGGGACTACAGGCTCATCCACCATGCCCAGATTGTAAAAAGTTTTATTGGAACACAGCCACTGTCATTTATTTACACAGTGCCTCTGATTGCTTTCATACTGTACCAGGAGCTGCTACGGGAAATGGATCTCTCCAACACCGAATAAAGGAGGGAGGAGTTCAGGCAGTAATTTGTCGAAAACCCAGCTCATTTAACAAAGGAAGGTTCTGACTTTATACAGGCTTATACTTTAGATGTTACACGTGGAAGAATCTTAGGTTTATAGCTTTAGGACTCACATGTGAAAGGTTTCTGGTTTGATCTTGTTTTAAGTAAAAATAGTGTCATCCAGAGAGTTTCCCCAAGACCAAGCGTGTTATTTTCAGGAAGGAGATTCAGGAGGCGCCAGCTGGCCTGCTCTCTTTTCTATTGAGCTGCACAGTGGATGACAGAGGGGGAGGGAATCCCAGATGCCTGGGTCTCCTTCCTCGATACTACAAAGGCAAAGATAAGTAGTGGCAACAGAGACCATATGGCCAGCAAGCCTAAAATATTTACTAATTTGGCTCTTTAAGAAAGTTGTCAACACTTGTTCTAAATAAAATGAAAAAGACAAAAAGAGAAACGAAACCACCCAAAACCCATAAGGTTAGCAAAGTCTATTTGCTATAATTGCTTATTATCTACTGAGAATTGTACTTCAAACACCAAAGACCATGAATAAAATCACTTATTACCCAAAGAGTGTTTCCTTATCAAACACGGTGTCTGCTGGCATATTCACAGGAATAAGGAGGTCTGGATGTGAATCAAAATGTAAAAAACTTATATTACTGGCAGGAAGATGCTTTGAGCCAATGGCCCGGTATATAAAGGGTAGAACCTGTAAAAGACATAAGCATACGATCAGAATTAATACTGAAACCATGAGCACACACCCAACTGCAGACTGAAAAACAATGCTAAACAATGCACATACAGAAAGCATACTGTGTTGTGAAAAAGTGGAAAAAGAGAGCCAGGTGCAGCGGCTCACGCCTGTAATCCCAGCTCTTTGGGAGGCTGAGGCAGGTGGATTGCCTGAGGTCAGGAGTTTGAGAGCAGCCTGGCCAACTTAGTGAAACCCCGTCTCTAATAAAAATACAAAAAAATTAGCTGGGTGTGGTGGCGGGCGCCTGTAATCCCAGCTACCAGAGAGGCTGAGGCAGGAGAATCACTTGAACCTGGGAGGCA